CGCTGTTACAGGCTGCAGTTTATTTTAATGTATTTCATTTGTACCAAATCTCCACTGCGTAGATTGTGTCAATGGTATTCCTTCGTCGACTGTCGTCGATGGAGCTTTCTTCTTAGACTTCTTAGACTCAATGAGCTTCTCCGAAATACACAAGGAAGGGTGTTAGTAAAATTTGGAATATTTTTAATCGTAACTTGAGATGATGTAACAGAATTAATTACAAAATTAGTGATCTTAAGAAAATATATGTCCAAACAAGAAACCTATTTGCAATGAACAAGGCACATCAACAAAAGGCAGAAGTAAAGCGACTATACTTACCGTTGACAGAAGGAGGGAAGGGTCTTATAAACGTACATACATACATATACTCTAGTATATGTATAAAACACAGTTAGTTAAATATAAGCAATACTTAAAAACAGAAAGAGATCATCTTATTCAAGCAATAGTACAACATGACTCACATAGAGATAAATACTCAATAATTAAGGAAGCACAAGAAATAGAAGAAGCACTACATTTAACAGTGGGTAACACACACAGATGAAGAAATTAAGAAAGCGATTATAAAAACTCATAATGCAGTGTGGAGAAGTAAGCAGTTACACGGGCAATTTCCGCATAAAGTACTTGATCAAGCCAACATAGATGCAGAGCTTTCGTTTAAATGGATTAAGAAACAACAGATATCGCCCAAATTAGAATCATCATTATTTGCCATACAAGACCAAGCCATCATGACCCGACAGCATCAGCGCGATATACTGAAAGAATCAGTAGACGGAAAATGTCACATATGTGCCTACAAGGATGAAACCCCTCAGCATATCATATCGGGATGCGAAAAACTGGCGGGGACCTTTTATGTTAAACGACATAATAACCTTGTCCAATACGTCTACTGGTGTCTGGCCAAAAAACACAAAATAGAAGTCTTGGACCTTTGGTGGAAAGAAACACTCATACAACCACAAGTTAAAGAAAATGAATCCACTAAAATCCTTTGGGAAATGCCCGTACAAACAGATATCACCGTAACGCACAATAGACCTGACCTTATATATATCCACAAAACTAGCAATAAAACATATTTAATAGATATCACCGTACCATCCGATTACAATATGGGCGTTAAGTAGATTGAGAAATTGAGCAAATACCACCTGTTGAAAACTGAAGTCACCCGCCTGTGGAATACACAAACGACTGCCATTCCGATAGTTATTGGCGCAACTGGAATAGTCGCTAAAAACATAAAGAAATACATAGATGAATTAGGAGCCAACATCGATATAACCACCCTTAAAAAACAAGCAGCCATATACACAGTGACCATACTTAGTAAAGTTTTGGGCGATACGATATTCATACACAGCACACAGGACCAACATACACAAAACACCCAGGAATCGCAAAACATGCATCAGTCACAGGACCCACAACCACAGGGCTCGCAACAATCGCCAGACATACCGCAATCCCCAGACACTCTAGACCCACTTAACATAGTACATACACTGGACATACAACATACATTGAGCATACAACGGGTAAGAGGAAGAGGACGAAGACGAGGAAGGAGAAGGGCCGCAAGTAACACGCACCACACGACAGACACACACTAGTTAGGTTCCTTTCATACAATGAAACTACACATTAAAAATTTAATTACAGTAAATCTATAATAATTCATTTCTAACTTTATCAATTTGAAATTATTGGGGACATAGATATCTTTTTTCCCGTGTGTTACGGGACTTGGTATTTATTAAACCGACAAAAGTCGAGATGTTGAGACCAACATATAATATAATACCATTAATAAACTATCGCTATGTTATTGACTAGCTGTTTTCATTATTCTTAAAATGGCGGCAGACGGATATATAAATGCCCATAAATCAACAATTGTTTTTAACTAGAATTAAATACATAGACAACAAGGCATCCGTTTAAAATGAAATTATTCCATTGCGGGTAAAACCCAACTAAATTTATATGGCCACAATTAAATTTAGACGTATTGAATTTATTTATGATATAAGACGTAAACAAGTAAACAGTAAGTGAATACCGATTCGATTTTTTTCCCACATGGGTTAGGGTTGCTACTCACTCAAGCATTGTTGCGAATAAGCTGTTTACAGACAATGCATAAATTTTATGCATGCATGCATTATTTATTGTTACTATGAAAGTATCGTAGCTATATATATTAAAATAACTACCTGCACAGGAAAAAATCGAATGATAAATTACAGTTCACTGTAATTTTGTCCCATGTCTACATGATAGTCTTTGAGTGGCTCTGTTAGAATTAGAGGGTTGGGCAGCAGTTATTCTCCATTACTACAAAAAGCAAACCCGTTTTCCGTGAGGTGGTTGTATAAATCCGCTCAAATGTGTCAAAGCTTTTCAACGTCTATGAGTAATAAAAGTTTATTTTATTAAATTATTAGTTTAGTTTATTAAATCCCTTTAGTCAAATAATTAATCAGAGGAAGCCTAAACCAGATATCTTAGAGAATTGACAATGAGCAGATATCATAATAATAAAATTTAATTATGTTATATTTTTACACATTTCACACACAAGGCCGTCTAATCCCAAACTAGGCAGAGCCTGTACTATGGTAACCCGACTGCTGATAAACATACATATATATTTCTAAATACATACATATTATAGATAAAGTACACCCATATACAGAACAAATGACCGTGCTCATCACACAATAATTTGTCCTAATTTGGGAATCGAACCCACAACCTCTAGCGTAGCAGTCAGGGTCACACTCACACACCTCATACGCGGCCGTCTGATCCCAAACTAGGCAACTATTTTCGTTGGATCCCAAAAGCTTAAAAAAATTTGAATGCCAGTACTTTCAGCAACATACTTGTTTATGGTAAAATGAGGGCGTAAATTTGAATAATTTAGGATCTTTAAATAATTTAGGAAATTGATTAAACGTGAGCTTGCCACCAGCTCACGTTTAATCAATTTGTAATACGTTAAAAAAAACACAATATTTCATTCATTATTTTAGTATAAATATAATTTAATACAAATTGAATTATAATTTAAAAAAAAAATCTTTGAATTTAAATCATTATCATTTTGGCCGACTTATAACCAAAATAAAAAATATTTAATTTGATTTCAAGTTATAGTCACATTGCCGAATTTGATTACAGGCACCGGGTTATCATCTTTGTTCCTTTATAATATTTCATAAAAATATGCTTGTCTATTTAGGAAAAATAAAATGACACACTTTTAGGCCCGTATTTTAAAAGTTGTCTCAGTCGTGAATCTAGTCTTAAAACTAATTTTAAGTAGAGATTTTATTATTGAACGTCACTTAAAACGAGATTCGACACTCCATACTCAAGTGAGTGATAGCTTATTTTAGAACGATGTTTATGTCAAAATCATTACTCAGGTATAGATTTTGACAGCTGTGATCTTTGTTTACGTGAGACAAACTGAAACTAGTCTCAAGCGGTGATTTCTAGGGCATTTAGGGGAAATGAATGTGTTTTACGATGATTTATTTTTGAATAATTATGAAAGATTTACTTTACTTTATTTACGAAAGAATTACTTGGCATACTATAATCAATTACACTTTCATTTACCTTAATTGATATGAAATTCACCAAAATTCACATTTTACACACACAATACTAGTTTAAATTACCACAACCTTTTGGTTTATGTTAAAAGTATAGTAATATAAATTTTGGAAATATCAAATAAGAACATCGTTTGACATTTCAACATGACAAGTGTTGATAAATAACTTGAACGTTCCGTTATAGCTTATTTTTATTTTTTTAAGCTAGTCATTTTTATTTTAATATTTATTATACTTAATTTTGAAAAACAACAAGCTTTTAATGTGTTAACATTGCTACACTAGCCAATAGTATATTATATACAAAGTCACAGAAATTATTTCTGTAAAAGAAAATTATTTTATAAATAATTAGCTGCGTAATGCGGAATAATAGTGTCAATCATGCGGAAACGTAATTGAGAACAGACTGTGAGTTCAAATCAATGCTTGAAACTAGTTTCAACTGAGTAAAACTTAAAACGCGTTCTATAATAAGATCGATACTTAAGATTTGATCTGCACTTAAAACTAGTTTCAGGCAATCAGAGTTCAACCGACACTTGAGACGTCTTTTAAAATACGGGCCTTAGAATTCAGACATAATAATTTTAATAACTAAATTGAATTGTGGCAGAAAATTAATGTAACTGTAGATAATTTAAAAAAGGTTTTTAATGTGATTCAATTTATAAAGTTTTTAAAAGTACAATTGGTGTTACTACATGTGATTCAATGGAAATAGCGAACGGGACCCATGGTTAATGGCAAAACTGGGATCCAACGAAAATAAATAATTAAAAATAGGTTTGTGTAATGTTTCCATTCAATTTCTTTTATTTTAATAATTATAACAGTAATTCAAATCAGTTATTTGTTGGTATTTTCAAATCAGTTATTGTTGTATACCTAGTCATGTTTGTTTAAATAACAACCAAACAAAAAAATATTATAAAATGTGATTAATTCAGAATTACATGCTCCTTTATAATTATAACCCCGCTTTAAATATAATTTATTTTTATAGTATAGATCCTTTAGAACAAAAATAATAATGGGACCTTGCCATTTTTAAAACTCTAGCGGAAGGAGCTCCTACCTTCAGTAAAATAAATAGAACTGTTGCGTAACGTGTATATAATGTGTTTGTTATAACTTTTGTAATTATTTCGAAACAGTTTTGGAACAATTCATACATAGTTAGGCCCAATACGCAGACGAGACAGCACCATGTTGAGTGTTATTACAAAAATTAGTAATTGTGAACAGTTTTTCGGGTTCAAAAACAAAATCAAATGGAGATCATCGTTAAAAATAGTTTTTTATCACTTGCTTTGTGTTTGGTGGGTTTGGCATTATGCATTCCCAATGAAAATAATGACATTTTTTTTCGGTATGAATATTTCATATTTATTTTTGTAACTTTCCAACACGGAAGTAATTAATTTGTTTTAATTACTTTAACCAAATTTTGAAATTTAAATTTCAATAATTGATTGCGTATACTTTCTTAAAGTTTAGTTCACATTAAGAAATATTCTGTATAAACGGCAGCCATAATATTTTTATGGAGAATCATAAATAAGAATATTGTGTTTTCATAAAAAAAAAACATTTTGTACAATTTTATAGAAATCATCATCAACAGCCTTTACTTAGAAATAAGGTATTTTAAAGAGTTATTTTAGCTTTAATGATAAAATAACCATGACTACAAGAAATAGAAGTGATTATCAATATGATTATATTTTTATTTATGTTTGTTACTCTAGGACTCCGTCATTTACAAATCGATTTAAAAAAATCTTTTTATTTGATTTTGAAGGAAAAATACCACCCTTAAAGAAATATTAGGAAATGAAGAATATCGGCCTGGTTCCGTGGCATCATGACTGATGTCTGTGACGCGTTAATGCCACGTGTCAGGTCGGGGGGCAGGAGGGGTTCTGTGTACTGGTGGAAATCGGAACTCGAGTAGCTTCGCACAGCGTGCTCGAGAACCCGTCGCCGGTTTCGGACGGCGAAGACGGCGAGCCACAGCCGAGGAGATCGCGGAAGCTAAGGCTTGATCCTTGGTCCTTGGTCCTTGGACTGGACAGGGACCCATGGGGGCGCCCGTACAAAATTGTATTGGGCAAGCTCAGACCGTGGGTCCCACAACTGACGCAGACCTTGGACCCGGAGTTTTGTAGGAAGAGTGGTAGATACCCTCTTCCCCAGGAACCAGTTGAGTCCCTCATGCTCTCCGTCACCGTCGGAACAAGTTACGTGGTCCGACGACTTCGACGTGACGGAGGAAGAGCTTTACCGAGCCGTGAAACGACTCGCTGCCCGCAACGCCGCCCCGGGCCCTGATGGGATTCCGGGTCGAGCATGAGTGTGCGCTTTGGCGGTCCTAGGGAATAGGCTGAGGCGGCTGTTTACCAGCTGCCTCCGTAATAGCATATTCCCTTCTGGCTGGAAGGAAGCCAGGCTGGTACTTATCGAGAAACCTGGCAGGGCTGCAGATTCTCCCTCGGCGTTCCGACCGATATGCCTGCTGGACGAGGCGGCGAAACTCTTTGGAAGATTTATTGCCGCCCGTATCAACCAGCACCTGTCGCGAGTGAGCCCTGACTTATCAGATAACCAATTTGGCTTCCGACAGGGACGATCGACGCTAGACGCGATCGAACGCGTCCGCGCCTTGTCGGAAGAGGTTGTCTGTCGGGGGGAGTGGCGTTGGCCGTCAGTCTTGACATAGTCAACGCCTTTAAGTCCCTCCCGTGGTGGGCGATTAGGGAGGCACTGGCGTATAACCCGTTGCCCCCGTACCTGCGAGACATCATCGGGGTTTATCTCCGCGACGGGTCCATATCGTATATGGGTCGGGACGGCGAAGATTGCCGAAGGGAGGTCACATGCGGGGTTCCCCAGGGTCTTAGGACCACTTCTGTGGAACCTCGCGTATGATGCCGTTCTGAGGACCAGCCTTTCCCCAGGATTGAGTGTCGTCTGCTATGCGGACGACACTCTGGTACCGGCTGGACGGCATGTCTTCCGGGAGGTCATAGAGCTCGCCGAGTGGCTTGTGTCGTCCAAAAGATCAGCGGTCTGGGTCTAAGGGTTGCACCTCATAAGACGGAAGCCCTGTGGTTCCATAGGAAACGCAGATTCCACCCGCTCGATTATCGGAGTGGGGGGAACAGAGGTCGAGGTCGGTCGGCACATCAAATACCTCGGCCTCACCCTGGATAGCCGTTGGAGCTTCGAGGAGCATTTCGAGCGGATGATCCTCCGAGTTCGCGGGGTGGCGGGCTCCCTACAGAGGCTATTGCCTAATCTGGGGGGTCCTCGGGAGGAAGTTCGCCGCCTCTACTGTGCGGTGATACGATCCATGGCCCTCTAATGTATCTAATGTATTACGATTTGCCTTTGATATTTTCTTTAGCTTTGTTTTTCGATACGATCTTCGTTTCTTTTGCTATTATGGCTTTACCCTTACCTTACTTTACGTAGAAGAACGCACTCTCTCCACGGGAAAGTCGTCACTGCCAATCTTATGGATTATTCTAGGGACTTAGGGACAAATTATCATGGCATTTAGAACAAGCCATACTTTCTTATCGGGATCATAAATTATAATCCAGTTGATTATAAGATCGGGATTAGATCACGGCCAGTCTTTAGTGCTGATGAAGTCATAAAAAATCGTTTCCAACCACGCTTAAGTGGATCGAGCTTTGTGACCTGCAGCTGAGTTGCTGAAAAGACCATCCTTAGTATTTTTCTTCAGTGTTGTTAAGAGGGTTAATCACCTTCTCAAGAGTTTTATCTTGATACACTTGTGCCGATGTTTTGGAACCTTTACTAAATAATTGGGCAGCTACTTTGCTGACTAATTGGGAAGCGTCTATAGAATTTTGAGCTTAAACTCGGTTATTTGCTTGCATAAATTTTGCTTAATAGTTAAAAAAATTTGTCAGTAAGAAGGTGTTTTGATGTTGCCACCCTATTAGTCTTTAAATTCTCAGTAAAATAATGACCAGTCCGACTCTTATAGATTTTAAGTCCTAAGTCATCGTTTAAAATAGGCGGCAGAGTTCTAGGTGCTATTTTCATTTCCCGAGATAAAATCGTTTGCTTTCGAGCAGGATTTCTTTGAATTCTTTCCTTCATTGCTTTGATTTGAACATTTTCGTACAAGTACCACATGGACGGACGGATCTTTTACTGTCACAAACAGGTTCATTTTATTACAGGAGGTTTCGTTGTACCTATCTGTCAATAGCCCGGTACACAAACATTCGACTACTCGTAATACTAAGCGGATGGGGAGTTTCGAAAATGTCAATTGGCTCCATATCTACTTTGTGTAATGATATAACAGTAATTTGGTTCTCTTTATCGATTTAACTGTCACACAAATATTTTTCAACTCAAACTCAAAATCGAAAAACTCTTAATTTCATTTTTTTTTTTATTATTTGAAATCGCCTCTTATGTAGAATCTAAAGTATAGATCAACACAATAGCAACGATCTCTGTTTTGTCAAATATTTAACAAAATAAATATATTAAAATTGTAAGTATCGTATTATACGAGTATGCCTGTTTCCAATATCAATTGGAGCAAAAATGAAAAAAAAACTAGAAATATTAATCGAAGAATGACAGATTCCAAATTCAAATGTTATGTTACGATTTTTTATTATGACAGTATTTATGGTCAGGCTAAGTATTTTCATCGAAATATAAACCTATATAGGTATTTAGTTGATTGGAAACCGGGAAGTCGCAAATTGACCCCTGCGACTCGCGGGCAGCAGTGAACTTTAAAAATCACTTCATCATCATCATTCATCAACAGCCTATAACAGTCCACTGCTGGACATAGGCCTCTCCTTAGAAATTAAAAATCACTTCGATAAGTAGAAAAGTGTTGATGAACTTAAAACGGCTTAGCCGTTGGAAAATTAAGCATTTGTCGTTTTTTGTTTATTGCGACTACAGCGACCAAAAAAGCTACCTAAATGTGGGCATTTAATTAGTTCGGCTCACGAATTCAAAAATACCAAAAATGTTTTTTTTTTATTTTTGTTTTCGTCATACTTTTTACGACATATTCAAAGTTAAAACTCATCGCATATTAAATGCTGACCTAGAACAAAGCGTAAGGCCTTTAGCAGTTATAAATACACAGTCGACCATCAAAACTATAAAAAATATTAAATACTGCCTTTAAAACATAACATATTAATGTTATATTTATTTTTGTTGCAGCTTTATTGATGGCTATTATAAATGGAGTAGGAATCACCTGCGGAGTACATCGTTTATTTACGCATAAATCCTATAAAGTAATAACTCCCGTGAAAATATTTCTACTTATAAGCTTTACGTCAGCTGGTCAGGTAAGTGATGTTCACTCTTATGTTAAATTTATTTCTTAAAAGTAATGGGCTTCGACTGGTCAGAGGACTAACGGGTGTTTTGTTTCTATAACAGGATGCCAATGTGTTAATAACAACACCCGTTAATGACTCTGGACATAATACCTACATATTAAAAAAAACCAGAGACAATCATATTTTAAACTTATACGTAGAAATGAGAGCTGTTCGTTAGTCGGGAAACGCGGAAATCGTTGGAGCGATTTGGCTAACTTTTGTATTGAAATATTTGGTCCGGATGTCCTAATAACGGCAGTTCCCAGATCCCTTCTATTACAGACGCAGAGTGGCACACCGTTTTTACCACCACAGGTTTTAGTCGGTCCGATGTCGACACACTACCCCGCCGCAAATCAGGTGGGGTGACGGCGTAAGGGGTTTCCAGTCGTAAGAAAAAATAGTATTAAAATATAATTATGTCAAAAATCCAAGCAAAATTTAAACGGCGACAAAATATTTAAAAAAAATGCGAGGGAGACAGTAAAACAACAGTTTTATTTTTCCATACAAAATGTTACCCATCTCAAACATTTGATGCTGTCGTTGGTACGAAATACTCGGCTCTCTTTAAATTAGAGAACAATATTAAATAAGGGTTTCGAATCGACAACATATATACACAATATTCGAAATAACGTGTATATAGATTAAAAAATGCAAATAAATAAAAGTCACTATGACAAAGGACTATGTCCAGCAGTGGACTGTTATAGGCTGTTGATGATGATGACAAAGGATCGTCATTTTTGTAGATTCTCACATATTTAGGTATTGTTGTTGTGCATACATACATAACAAAAAAAATCAAATCAATTTTCGTAATTAATAATAACCGAATGAAACAGACATGACAGATGAAAGGTTAAAATTTCTTTAGACTTTATGTAGTCACTTTATGCCTGAGAACTTGTTTTACATTTATTTTGTACTTCATTTGATTATTATTTTTTGTAATTTAGGCCTATTAATTCATTTTATAAAAAGCGACTATTAGATATATACATAAATGTTTTTTCTGTATCATGTTCTGTAAGTGTGTATATATATATATATATACCACTGTGTACATTTATCTATTCAAATAGTTGGTATTTAATAAGACCTGTATTATTTATTACCTATATACTCGTAAGTGCATCTACCTTATGCTTTCTCTGCATCGCCCAATGACTGACAGAAAATGCCTTAGGCATTAAGTCCACCGATGCATATATGTACATATTTGTGCAAAAACTTATAAAATAAAACAAATTAATAATTGAAAGTTATCTAGTTAACAAAATATTCTAATTCATTTTAGACAAAATTGAAGTCCAAAATCGCTAGTAGGAATAATATGAAAATTGTTGATAACTTCATGTTAATTTTCAGAATTCCGTTTATCAATGGATTCGTGATCACCGCCTTCACCATAAATTTAGCGATACAGATGCTGACCCACATAACGCACGTCGTGGACTATTTTTCTCACACATCGGCTGGCTCATGACTTATAAAAACGACGAAGTAATAAAAAACGGGCTAAAAATTGACATGAGTGATATAGAAAGCGATAAAGTGATCATGTTTTTTCATAGGTGAGTACTGTAGTGTCAATAAAGGTATTGAATGGGAGTTTGTAGAGAATGTAAAGCGTACTACTACAAGACTTGTCATTTAATACCGTTATTGACCTTAGCCTAAGCGTGACAAATTCTGATTATACTCTGTTCAAACGTAAATATTCCTGAGTTTGTAAGAACATTTTGTTCTAGAACTGTCAAAAACATGAGTGAACAAGGTGAGACTACGAAAATTATTACCTACATACATCGTAGGACCTCTTTCAATTTTGCTATTTTTATGATACAGGTACTCTCTGCTGCTCAATACCATTTTCTGTTTCTTGCTGCCAACATTGACTAATGTACTGGTATGGGAAGAAAATTGGAAATGTGCAGTCGCCTGGCAGTGCTTTATTAGATTTCTATTTGCGTTCCATTGTGAACTCTCAGTGAACAGCTTTGCACATTTGTATGGATATACACCTTACAACAGGTAAGCTATAAATTTACTAATACAGACTCACTATGGACTACACTACTATTCACTAATGTGTCCAATACATAAACACACATTCTCTGACAGGGTAGGCAGAGCTGTATTAACTGCTCTCTATTTGCCATCTATAACTGTTTCATCATCAACAGCCTTTAGTGGACTACTACCTGCTAAGGAGTGACCTATGTTCAGTAGTGGACTAACTATTTGTGCAATCAAAATTAGCAGTACAGTTAAAGGAAAGCGTGAATAAAGTACAAGGTAAAAGATATACAGGTCTTACCTACCAAGGTACTGACAGTACGAACTACCTATGACCAAGAAATATTTACGTTAAAACCAAAATAATACAACCATTATGAAGCAAGTATTTTCGTATCAAATTCTCTTCAAATTCTTCATTTCAAAATCTTAATCTCTTCTTAATCTTAATCTTCTTAATCTCTCTAATCTTAATCTTAATCTCAAATTAGGTACTTTCAGGCAGCTAAATAAGTGCTTTTTATATTGAATTCTGATTTTTTATGAAACTTACCATGATACTACCTTGTAGGCTGCCTACCCGTAGGCTGCGTCTTCCGGTACGCGGTCATTACTCGAATACTTTTTGGCACCATTGGCATACGTTTCTGTGAGCAATGTGTCCCGCCCACAAGTTTGGCAATCATTTAGTTGTCAGATGACTTGATGAAGGTCGCTAGAAGCCTTTGGATGTAAGCAGCACCAGACCTATTGTTCTGGCGAACCTTAGAAGAAGCCATGTCCAGCAGTAGGCATCTTACGGCTGAGATAATGATGAACCATGATACCTAGCAAATTAACGAATATCAGCTAATATTATGATTTTCTTCACATGCATATCTGCACACTTGTCTTTACCGAGTTCTATCCTGATAAGCCACTTTATGTGATGCTGTTATAATAATAAATTAATTGGGTCAATTAATAAAAGGTATAAAGAGTTGGATCAATTTCAAAGAGTTTCTCAAACTCTTGTACTTTCACAGGTTACGAGAAAATGAGACGTATGTATTCCTATAGTCTGCCAAGCATGTTGCCAGAGTTTATCCCCTATTGTCGTGTCTATCTACCTATTGTGAAGAACTATTGAGTTCCAAGAACCCAGCTATTACATGTTTTTCGAGAAATAAAAATGATCGATAGTTTGATATTCTCAAAAAAAGATGTTAAAAGCTTACACAAGTTTATAAGATACTAGCTGAGACCCGCGGTGTCACCCGCGTTTGTTGTTATAACCGCGGGCAACGCCGCGGGTGAAGCTAGTCTAAAAAAAGTAGCCTAAGTTACTCCTTATGTCATCAGCTATCTGCCAGTGAAAGTCCCGTCGAAATCGGTCCAGCCGTTCCAGAGATTACCAGGAAGAAACAGACAGACAGACAGACAGACAAAAATTGTAAAAAATGTTATTTTGGCAAATGTACCGTGTAAACATACATACATATGCATTTAGTATAAAGCGGTTATTTTAATATTACAAACAGACACTCCAATTTTATTTATTTGTATAGATGTTTTAAGTATCAGTATTAGCCTAAGCGTCAGTGTTACTGTTCTCGTTATCGTTCGCCTTAGCGTTTGCAAAGACGTTGGCTTTCCCGTTCCCATTCACGTCATCGTAAGCGGTAATGTGAACGTTAGTATTAGTATTTATTTAGCAATTTTGTGAAGAAAATCATAAACAAAAAAAATTTTGCCATCAAAACAAAACGCTTTCAATTTGTTTCCAGGAACATTTTGCCAAAGCAAAACCTGTATGTAGCCGCCACTACTTTGGGAGAGGGCTGGCATAATTATCACCACGTTTTTCCTTTCGACTACAAAGCAGCTGAGTTCTTCGACAGTTTTAATTTTTCAGCTTCATTAATCAAGTGGTGGGAGCAAAGAGGATGGGCTTACGATCTCAAGGAAGCTACTCCTGAAATAGTAGATGCATTCGTTAAGAGAATGGGCGATGGTGAAAAAAGGACGGAAAATTAAATGAAAGATGTTAATTTTAAAACTGTAATATATTTTAATTTATTGTTACTTTAAAACTATATTGATATAATAAATGATATTGATATAAGATATGTCTGTTTGTCACATTAAAAAAAAAACTTTTCAATATCCAACTTTCTCTTATAAAATCAGTTAAAAACCATATCGCATAAAAAGTTAACCTTAAAAGACATAATACATGCCTCAAGTATTTTTATATTAATTAAACGCTAAGAAATAATCATAATGCATTCATAACGAGGCCAATTAATATGAAAATATTTTAATATAATAATGTTTTAGATGTAGTGACCGACGTGTGTCCATGACTTTTAATTTATTACTCATTCGGTTACGACTTATATTTTTACATAATTATTATTGTACTAGATGCCTCGACAGACTTCGTTCTGGCAAAAGTTATTGGCTTGTTGCAGTACAATAGAAAAAATCAACAGAACGTGTTTCAGATGGATCACTTTCCTTCGAACCTTGAAGACATACCAAAAAACCTAATACGCCCTTGTTTTGTATAACGTCAAATGTATGACAGCTAGAGAACCACATACAGGTGCTGGTACAGATAGGAAAACACCTATCGTTTTTTAATTAACTATGTGGTTTGTGTGGGAAAAGAAAAGTTTAGTATATAGAGTATAGCATATAGAGTGATTCATTTTTATTTTTATTTATTTGTTTACAACTTCATGCACTTGTGTACATCGGCGGACTTTATGCCCTGTGCATTCTCTAACAACCAACCTTTGGGTGGTGTAGAAATCTGGTAAGGTAGGTGCACTCAGGATACAGTTGTATACATAAATATACGTATAAGAAATACCTAATAACATCACTTAACCAACGAAATAACTAAAGAGTTATGTGATGTCATGTCATGGCGTTGTATGTGTGTATATGTGACTAGAGAGTATATGACTGTAGAGTATACACAAGAGACGATTTCAAATTTATGTATATATATTATTTTTTATGAAATATTTATAATAATATTTAATAATCTACAATAATATCATTAATCCGAAAGTAATTCTGTCAGTCTGTTTGTTAAGCGTTTACGCCTAATCCGTGAAATTAAATCCATAAACTAAAAGTGTATAATTGGCGGCCTTATCGCGATTTGCGATCTCTTCCATGCAACGGCAGATCCGGTAATTAAATGGCGGCCGTGGTAGAGGGAAAATACTTAACTTGACCTACGGCCGGGAGCGAGCCTCCTTATAATATGTCCCTGTGCGAGGTGAAACGATGAGAGGGGAAATCCTGGTGGGAGAGAGTCGTGTGACATATGTAACAGGAAAATTTAAAAGTTAGTTGGATACAGGCAGGTTCTATGTACTTCAAATAGAGCCTTAAAGTATATAGACATCAAAAAGCCTTAAAGAGAAAAAAAACTAGTGTTTTGCCGTGAATAAAAACCTCGAAAGTGGGTAAATGGGTTATGAAATTTCGTATTGGAGGCTAATCACTAGTCAAGTTTTGAGATATACGAGTTTAAAGCCGTCATATTATGATTTTTGGAAAGCAGATAGGCTGCATTAGTGAAGTCTTCACTCTCGACGGCGTATTTGACGAAGAGACGTTAGCCAAAGGATCGGCAGCAAGACGATGGAAGAGGTAACTTGAGTCATGTAGAAGGCATAAAGGTCTCTGGGCCAGTGATAGAGATAAACCTCAACTTAGGAACACTCCCTTGGCAGACGCACCGACCTTAAAGCAGTATAATTATTTAAAAAAATATATAACATATGTATTTATTTCAGTTTTCTAGTACCCATAGTACAAACTCTGCTTAGTTTAAGACTAGATAGTGTTGTGTGAATGCTGTAGAATATTCTTATATTCATAAAAATCTTGGAGAGAAACTTCCCCAGGTAATCATTATAGATAGACAAAGTACGCGTTTAGTATCAGTGGAATCTTTTTGTTTCCCTTGTCGTAAGTCACAGGCCTAAAGGTTGAATGACTTGAGAAACTTTAAAAAGTTCAAGATAAGAAATTGCGCTTAGTTTGCGCTAAGTCATTCTTTATCCTAATTCCGATATAATCCTACTTCTTTATTTCACCATCTGAACAACAACGAATTAAACAAACACAGAATTTAACGTTTGAGATTTACAAAATTTAAGAGATAAATTAATTCTTAGTAATTTATTAAAATAAATGAAACCTACTATTTTTGGATTGACCTATCACTTGTTTTGTCATTCATGCGTCAAAATATCCAAACAAAAAAAATGTATTCTTCTTAGAATAATGCTAATATTCGTTGAATTTTTAGTAGACTATGATGGTTGCATTCTATCCCATATGGCATAAAGACCTTTACCAAAAGGCGAGTTATTACGTGTAGCAATTCCATGTCTCCACGTAATAAAATTATAGGCAAATTTTCTAGTAATTTAAAAATCCTTGAAGGCAGATCAGTTTTATTATAAACCTTTAAGTCTCCTGATTCACAATTCAATGTTAGAGTCAGACGTATTAGTCTTCAGAATCAGCCACTAGAATCAATAACCAGTATCACTTTGCAGTCTTAGTCCTCCGATGTTTGTCAGCAATCTTCGACCTTGTCTGCAGAATCCGTCACTTCTAGTCTAAGTTTACAGCATTAGTCTTTTGCGTATATATACAACCTTAGGCTCCAGTGTCAGTTTGCAGTCTCAGGATGCGGTCCCAGTTTCAGTTTCTAGGTCTTCTGCAAGTCTATTAACGTTTTACTTGGAACGGCAATGACATCTATATTTAGATTTCTATCACTGAATTCTAATCACTGACTATATTTCAGGAAAAACTAAGTTTAAAAATATTAACATTGACATAAGTATATATTATCACAAACATAAAAGTGTAAATATGTTTCTCATCCATATTCATATGTTTATAAACGTTCTGTACTCTCACGTTTGACGTCACATTTTCAAGGTGAACACTATAGGCCGAAGAACAGAAAAATCGGTTCGTTTTTATACACAAAAATAATTAAGGAAGAAATAAAGTAAATATTTTTAGCATCAATAGATGTCTCTCTCTCTCTGTTTCAAGCTATTCATCCCACATGGTGGTGGGTCAGCTTTCCTTATCTATCTGTTTTCTCCCTTCGCTCTATTATCTATGTCGTCTTCGAAAAACCCGATCAAAAGACGTCGACGATAAAAAAATACAAAAACCACAATAATGCTAATACAAATGGCAAACGAACCAAAACGCGAAAAGTAATAGAAACTAAACTTGTTAGCATAATTGAACTCATTAATGTGAGTTAAAGTGGTGAGGGCAATAATATCCGTTTATTAGTTTCCGTTTTTTGTTCAAGTTCAAACTGCATTTCTTTATTTAATAAAATTAAAATTATAGATGAACACATGCAAAGTCATCGCCACTCAAAACAGATTGATTGGCTTAGTTTATATAAATTTAATAAAACAAAAAATTGAAAAACAGATAACACTTGCAATGTACTTCCAATGCCAACGATGTCGTATTGTCAACTCCATTGGGGGATCCTAGAAGATACTCAATTCGTGACACTCTTGTGACCCTACTCATTTAAGGAACACAGCATTCACTTAGCAATGACTAAGATTTTACTAAAAGAATAATTAGTTAGTCCGGGATTAGTTGACTAAGGGCATAACCACAATCGTTCGTAATATACAATATTATCGTAAGAGAAAAAGAAAACTATTTCATGTTTTCTTGAGGTACTTACTTTTGTTGGCTAACGATGGCAGTAAACTGGGTTAGGCTCAAATGCTTTCATTGCTTTTCACCGAGTGGGAGAGGTTACCGGAACTCAATCAATTTCTGTGAAAGAGGGGATTGAAAGGAGGGGGCAACGCACTTGAGTTGAAGGTGTCCGAGGGCGGTCTCAATTACCATCTGGTGACCTATGTGCTCGTTGCCACCCAATGTCATAAAAGAAATCCATGCACAAGCGTAACCTACTATATATATTTTGGGACTGACTATATTCAGCAACAGTTTATGGCTGCGTAATCACTGCGTTTTCGGGTTTTGTGTACGGAGGATAAATAAAAAGGTTTTTTTAAATTAATTCACAGAGTTTAACTACCTGTGACTACCACTTTAATAACTTTACTAATTGATTGTTTCGTAGCGACGGTTTTATAGCGAGCTTACAGTACAGTACTTACCCAAAATCTTCGGCAGCATATTCCTCTCTTTAAAAAGTACCTATCTGTTTCTTTTGAATAAAATACAAAATGTTAATAACCTTAACAATAAATTGAAACTTGACAAACTGTTTTCAACAAAGTATTTATCGGGGACCATTCAAATAGCTTGCTTATCAAAACATTCTGCTACCTATTATTGTTCCATTAATAAATAATACATCAGCAGTTATAAAACTTATAATTTAAAATGTTTTAAATTGTACGTCAGAATATGCGTCAGCATTGCCATTATAATTAAGTATATACTATAACTATATTCTTATACCTAAGAAATCTTTATTAATTTGCTAGGGAAACCTGAAGGTTATCTCGTAATAAAAGTTTGGTCACAATTCAGTGCCGATCAACTCTCGATATTTTCGTAGTAAAGAATTAAACATTCAACGCTGACAGTAATGTGATGTGAATATATGGTAGTATAACCAAATTGAAACGGTAATCTGCTATTTTTAGTAACAATTTCCTATTTAACTACGAAAATATCTCTTGACAGTTACGAGATCGAGAGTTGAATTTTGGCGGATTTTTTACTATGAGAATTGGCCTTCAGGAGTTTCCTGGAGTCAAAGTGTGTCACTATCTGTGAATTGCAAAAGAGTGGCCATGAGTTTGTTTGCCCTTTCTTCTCATAAGGCTCAACCCCGTGGAAACGGGCGGTTGCAGATCGGCACAGGCATATCATAGATTTTGTATGGGTTTGATTTTTGTTAAATTTATTTGCTTACTATTTGACAAAACAGAGATTCTTGTGTGTGTGTGTGTCTTTTGTATGTGTTGATCTAT